TTTTTTAATGGTCAATATTAATCTATATACATATCTTTCTCGAAACACGAATGCCCTGAGAAAACAAGCGTCACCTAATACTACATATGTAGCTCATGTTTAGAATAATAATTATAAATACTTATGAGCTTAAAAATCCTCGTATTTATAACAGGTTCGGGTCTCATGTTGTGACTTCTAAACCCACAATCGGACACCCGGTACAAAATCTATAAATCGGAGTAATCTAGTATGTCTCGAAAGCCACGTTTGCCGCATGCAGAAAGTAAATACGTAGAAGAGCGCAGAGCATATATATTGCGCCGCCACGCACGTTATCTTTATGCGCCGACAGCTGACATATAAACTTTTTGAAATTTGCGACCCATATGTGTTGTATGTATCACAAGAACGTAATTTCAGTAAACGAATGATATTACATCGCGTTGCCTACAAACTGTTCCCGAGTACCTGGCTTTTCGTTTTGGCGTCGGATTTTAATTGTTGTGCTGTTTTAAATATATACATTCAAATACTGAACATATGTGTTAGTATAGCAGTAATTACAAGACTTATTCATTGTCATAAAAAGTTACTGTGTTATCAATTTTAAAACACCAAGATTTGGTCCACTATCTTCAAAATATAATACTGCTATTCAACAGCTAAGTAAATAGCAACTGAGGAGCCTCTACGTCCTTAATTGTTTAGTAAAGAAATTTCATCCTTAATATCTTGAACCAATTTCAGAAAACGGTAGGTAGACTTTTATTGAGTAACCCTCAATTAATCAATAATACGAAAAGTATGAGGGGACCATAGCTAGTGTTTGTTTTCTGACAAATAGAGACCCACACGATACCTTGTATCTATACGGTTAATATGTATGGAAACGTACTTTCAGACACCACTTAGGTAATAGAATTCAACAACCATGCGTCGGCTCCTAGTGAGTGGCGAGCTGGGAGAGAGGCAGCAGTCGAAAAATGGAGATCAGAAATTTGCCCAGCAAGGATCATCCCTTAAATAAAGTAGCCACCACAATCTGTCATGTTTTGTTAGTCTTTGTGTAATGTTAGTGGAGAATTAAGTTTTATTTCGGGCCTCTGGCTTATGGGACAAAACATAAGTCATGCCTCGGGAGACCATAAAAACGCGACCAACACTCTGAGAACATCGCAGTCTTTGCTAGATAATGCATGTGCCGAAAGCACGTTTTCCGTCTCTGTATAAAAGATGACAGGTATTAATTTTTTTAATGAAAGTAAAAAAAAGGTATTGTTCAAAAATATGCTCCTGTCCGTTAACAACGAGTGAATAGTGCGATGGGGTTATTACTCTGAAACAATAGATTCACACCATATATGCACGAAATGCCTAAATCATGTCAAGTCAAAATTGCCAAACCGTCTGATATTGCTGTCCGTTGCCACTCCGCAGGTCAACTTAAGGAACAGCACGTGTGTCACGTCGGTTTCTTGAAGGTGGCAACTGCAGTCGCCTTGCCGTGAAAATATCCTCCCGGATTTCCTTAAAACCAAAATATGTTTATGTAAAATTAGGGAAATATTCATCATTAAAATAGCTTCACGATCGTGATCATGAAGCTAAAATAACTAGTTCTATATTAAAAAATAATTATGATTGAGCAGAAATCTCTATCATGAATGAAATAGAGACACTGTTGTACAGTTTCTCTTCGTCACCGCATACAATCGTTTAGAGAAACTTCTATCCTCGGAGATATTTGCCCAGTCGGTCCAAGAGGATATTTGAAGAAATAAATATTTTAATGAAACTACATGAAATTAAAGAAAGAATGGATGCACCACATAGTTATGAAAAACAACGATGTTCCATCCGACAATTATATCTCGAAGACGAAAACAGAATATTGGTCTCTATTGCAAAAACGGTGCCTATAAAGTTTCTGTATGTTAAGAAATTTAAAAAACAAGCTTTTCAAATATTACAAAAGAGCAGAAGTAGTCATTGAAAGGAATTGTAAAATGGGTGGAAATCGAATGATCCACGGCGAGTTTAGTAAAGTCAGACAAGGAAAACCGAGCAAAACGAGTAGCGAGAAATGCTTATGACGTCAGATTTAAGTCGCTACAGTCGAGCGAGCGACGAGTTTTTGTAGCCAAACAATTTCTCACGGCGCCCAAATGAGAAGCAGCTCGATTCCGTCGCAGCGCCCGCCCGCCACCGCGCAGAGGGAAAGTTGTTCCGCGCTTTCAACCGCGAGGAGTGGTGTTGGAAGGCGTCTCTCCACGACCACAGCGCAAACGTGGCGAGGAAGGGAATTAAGGCCGCACCTTGCAGAAAATGTACTTAGCTTTTGCGAAGTTTTTCCCAGATAGAACTGCGTTAAAATATTTGTTAATGATTTCAGAAAATAAATGAACGAAGAAACCAAAGGGAAAGTGCGTTAAGATAGAATAAAGGCTTTAAAAGGAAAAAGAACGGGGAAATCTTGCAAAATGTCGATTACAATTCTTCAAATGACCTGGTATGGTTAAAAAAGATTAATAAACTCCAATTCCTTGAGCGAAACGAACACATGATTGAATATTGCAGTATCTACGGGTAAACAAATGGTAGCTCATTAGGCATATTCAACGCCAACCCGCAACAAAAAAATACGTAGAATTAATTTGGCCTCTAAGTACAAATACAGCTAAAAGGAATGCTTTCATGCCATTTGAGCCTTATTCTGTTTGTACGCATAATCAGCCCATTATGTGCCATCAGACGGACATATGGGGCAGTTTTCGTTGTTTATTACGTCTAAAACAGAAAAAAAGCGTCTCCAAATTTATATTTCCGCACCACACGTCATTAGTGCGCGATTCCCCCCAGAAGTTGGCTTCTATATGCTTTCATGACACAGCAGGAGAGTCATTAGTATATATGACCGCGTTGAAAACTACATTCAGGCAAGTTGCAATTTACGCATCTTGGTGCTAGTTAAAGTTCAAGGAGATTAATCTCTAACTTGTTCTACCTTTACACAAAAACACAATGATAACTTCTCGACAGAGGTTATGACGCTATTCTTTGACTTTAGAATACATGATTGAAGGGCTTGCCTGAAATGAAGATATAACTTAAAATTCCACAACTTATAGCTAAAAGGAAATAAAATGCTTGTAGGATATATTTTATTAGATACATAAGGTGTAATTGATAATTTAATAATATATTATAATTTCTTTCATTTTATTTTACGGTACATTGCTATTAGTTTAAAAATGGTTTATCTTACGCACTGCTCTAGACCTCTAGCGAACTATTAAAACGGTTCTGCTGCTCGCTACTGGCCTCTGGCGCGAATATATTAAAGTCACGCCAGATTCTGTCGCAACATGCTGTTCTCGTGCGGAAATATAAGGAGCCTATCTGCTCTTAGGCGATAGGCAAAACAAATGATTGTGGTGCATTTACCAACATCATTATTTACAGTTATTCATTTTCACCATTGTGACGCATTAGTCTCTACCAAAACTTTTGCAAGTGTGGACACTGCAAACAATTCATAAAAGATAAGATGGAAAAAATTGTGTGTGATCTTTTCATAGCAAAACTAATAGTCTGTGATACCGATGTCCGTTTACATGTCGTTGAATTCTCAGTTTTATGAGTATATGTATATAATGTGACATTCCCTCTTTAGAAAATAGGCGTCAGATACAGTTCCCTAGCG